CCAATGTTGTTGGATTTCCAAAACAACATGTTAATTGATTATGATTGCATAAATATATTGTTTGTATTATATCCGAACATATACACATACATACAGAAGTATGTATGTAAGCGCTATAAATTAGCTGATAAAAAACTATTATGTTGGCCATTTTTATCATCTACGAAATCAAGCGGAGGGTAACTTTGTAAATTTCTGTTATCTTCAGATAAATTCATCATATACACTGCATTCATAAGTGCTAGTATTGATATGTGGTACATTTGCGTAAATATTTGGTATTATATCATACTTACATACATAGATATTTAGATATAGCATGCAAGCACGTCATTTCTATATAGAAATGCAAAAGTTAGATAATAGCATGCATATGTATGTATGATGGTGTGTATGATATTCATGTGTTACCAACTGATAATGACTCCTCCAAATGTGTTTGTTTTGTTTATCGCAAAGTTGTTGTGGTGCAAGGGGTTTGTTTCGACGCAGTAAGGCACTCCCTATCGCTCTCTCCATATTAACCTTAGCGTTTTGTCTTATCAACTTTTATAAATAAAATTGTCAAAAAAATAAAAAATAAATCGCTCATTCGCAACAATTGGCTTGGATAAATTTGAATTGCACAGATTTGGTGCTGCCCAAACTTTTCAACAAATTTACTGATAACCGAACTGGCATTTGCATCCTAATATTGCCGCTCGACTTTCCGAAACGACATCACTTCGCTCTATAGCCCATTGAAAGGTATCAAGAAAATCCGACGTTTTCGAGCCGAATTTTGTTCAGCTATGAGGCCCATTTCTGGCTCAATGTGTATGTAAACAAGTAAAATTGTCGTGTTGACTAAAAGCAACCTGAACATCACATTAATCTATGGATTTATTGAGAAAACACTTTGGTGAACAGATAAATTCACGTTTTTGGCCAGTCGATTGGCCAACAAGATCGATATCACATCGTTAGACTGTTTCCTTTGGAACGTCTAAAGTATATGCGCACAATCCCACTTTGACTCCGCATTTCGAGCAAAACATCACGTGTTACCAGTTACCAGTCGAAATGCTCCAACGAGTCATTGAAAACTGAACTCAACGGATGGATCACCTGAGACGTAGCCACGGCCACCATTGGAAAGAGATAATCTTTAAAAAATAAATGCCAAATAATAAAGAATCATTCCTCAATTAATTTGAAGTTTCTGTGTTTTTTCTATAAAATGTAGGAAACCTCGAAATGGATCACCCTTTTTATATTTATTGTAACCCTTTTTAACAAACAACTTAAGTTTTCTTTTTTATTTTAAAACACTAAAATAACAACTGTAACGCTATCTATGTCGGAAGACTTTAACCGGCGCTAAGAAAACGAAAAAGTATCCATTTCATATTAGATAAATATACTTTGAATATAGTGTATATCACTGAAGTCAAGTAACAAATAATCGTCTTGGGCTGTGTTGGCGCTCGGCCAAACCACATTTTATTCTGTTTTCATATTTGTACATATTTGTAGTGTTGTTTATTTCAATGCAAATATAAATAAGTATACATATGTTGTCGTTTTCACACACTGTATTTTCTTTTTTTTTTTTTCTTATAATAATTTTTATTCCATTTGTAGTTGTTGCTACAGCTCTTTGATTACCAAGTAGTGTTATAGTTCTTCTTTTAAATAGTGGCGGTTCACAGCCGACACAATCAATTTCATACAATCAGCAGCAAGTCGCGCAATGAGTGTAAACAAGTCCTCCACACAAGCGAAATTTATTTGAAGGAATAAAGAAAATTTCATGCTTGTGACTTTTTATCATTCATTCATTTGGATTTCAATGAATTTTTTCATCGCACGCGCATAACTTATCGCTATGTAGCAACATATCAAATATGTTTAAGTTTTTTCCATTTAAGTTTTGATTATTTATCACAATGGAACATAAGGCAGTTGTGATTTCAAGTTAAACGTCAATTTTTCGTACATTTTCTTTACTGATAATAGCGGAATATTTATCTCATTCCGGTTCAGTGGACTTCGGTGTTTTTCGAGCACTTCTGGCGTATATATATGAAAAGAAGAACGTCCGTTGGGTTTTAAAATTATTGAGATTACTCCTGAAAGTATAATGTGTGATTGTGCAGAAATACATATGTACATACATTCAATGCACTCAACAAATATCAGTAACTCATAATATTTAATCTGTTTTATTGGAAATAATACTTACAAGTCATTCTAGATAAAGACAAGTATCTGCTTTTAAGTTTAGGAACTAATGGAAAATTAAAAGTATTGGCGTAGAAAAATATGGCACCTCAGCGACAATAACACGCCACCCCCGCAAATACTGCTGGCTGCGCCCAAAATTGGGGTGAAAACAGAATGTAAGCTTAACATTTAATTGTAATGTAAATATGGAACCAGTATTAACACCAACAACAATGTCAGCCTCGAATTACACCGCTCTTGCCAACAGGTAAGCAATTGAAAAGTAAATTCCACCCTCCACGACCAAAAACCAAACTCTGTAAGACCCTCGTTATTTCCGTCCTGCTGTATAGTGCAGAGGCGTGGACGATGACAACCACATGACAATATAGGCCACATAATTATGCTCTGAACAAGGTACATTAAGTGTACCCAGAAGCAAACGTCGGTGAACCATATACACATAAATGATCAGTGTGATGAGCTGAGTCGATATGCACCCGAATTAATCCCTCAGTTTTGGAAATATCGATCTGAAATTTTGCACAAATCTTTTTCTTCCCAAGAAACTGCTCATTTGTCATAATCAGCGAAATCGGACCTCTATAACATATATACATATGTATGTATATGGCATACAAACTGATGGATCAAAAAAAAGTTATTATAAGGAAAACTATATATATGTATATATATGTATGTATGTATGTATGTATATATATTTTATGTATATTTCGACTCATATAAAATTCATCATAACTAGACGTCAACCGTCGCAGGCGTTTTGGAAGTCAGAAGCTGCAATTCAAAACTATATTTCTATTGTATAAATATATTTGAACTAATTTTAGGCAGAAGTGAATGCATGACAATTATCCCATTAATTACCGTTGATCCATTGCAAAACAGACGGCACCATTGCAAGTCAATTTGCTGTCGCAAACACCAAAACTTATTAAGAATTTACAAAGTGCGGCACTATAAATAGTACACAATTTTTTTTTGCACATTTCATGAATTATTGGCCATTTATTAAAGACTATTTAAACAAAATATTAACAAAATAGTGTCAGTGCTATAGAAGCTGCTTTTGTACGAAAATAATAAAATATTAATGAATATATGTATATGTATGTATTTAAAGCACGCAAGTAGCTTCTGTTCCAAGTAATTCGAACAATAAAATCTCAACATTTTTGAGCTAAAAATAATTTCAATAAATTGAATAGCACAAAGCTATTGGCGTTATTTATTAAGCTTGCAAACGCTCGCATATATACATATAAACTCAATTTTCCGATATTATTTTTGACTTATTAATAAAATATGTGAGTACCTACAAAAATTCCTCTCAAATCATTTATAAAAATAGTAAGATTTAAATTTTGCAAAAAAAAAAAAAAAAAAAAAAAAAAAAAAAAAGAAAAAAAAAAAAAAGGCAATTAAAAATATTGCAAAAAACGCTTAAAAGTTATTGCTGTAGGCTTTGAGTGTATATAATATACATATATGCAAATTATACTGAGAGATAATTGTACTTGCACTCATTTACATTCATCTCGGTATTTGAGCATGTCCGAAACAGCCTGAGCAAAGCAAGTAAGTATGAAATGAGATCATATCTGTTTGTCAGCATATTGAAATGTTTGTGTGTGTATGTGTCCTTAACTAAGTGCAAAAACAAACAAACACAACAACCATGGAAATAAATGCGAATTTATGTGGATACTTAGAAATCGTTTTAAATGCCGATATACATATATGTATGTATGTAAATTATTAAGCGTGTAGCAAAATTACATTTGCATTTAGCGAATTGGCCGGGAAAAGCAAAAACCGTTCGTTAACTGCAAAGTGCGTCAAGAACACAAGATTAATTTGGTGCTTAAATGCTATAACATTTTGTTTACATGACTTTCAAATGAATTACTAGCAGATGTACATACATACATATGTAGGTATGTATAGGAACATATATGTATATTTGATCCTCAAAATTATTTTACCAAAAAAGTAAATAGCCATATGTTAAGAGATCCATCATATGCGGTGTTTGCATTAATAACAATAGGCCACAGCACTTTAGCACTTACTAACCAGAGTAATTACACATATTGAACATTTTGGGTAGATGTTTAGGGTTTTGATAACCTCATGAAGGTGAGAATATATTGTTTTTTTACTCTGCTGTATACTGCTGTCATTTTTATATGAAAAATAACTTAACAGAATCTATTTTTTGCTGTAACAGAACTTGTATATAGTTTTACTTTTCTTTTATATTGAGTTTACTTTTATATTTAATATGTCTTAATAGTAGATAACTATTTTTGTTTTAATAAGTACCTGCTTTAAAAAGCACAAAAATATAAACAAGATTACTTTTTGCATTTAACCAACCAAAAAGATATAAAAATTT